CCCCCCCCCCCCCCAGTTTGCTGTTTTGAGGATGCATTAGAGAGATTTGACCTTACATATTTTCGTGATGACAGCAGTTTTACTGGACAGGAAGTAAGAAAAAAATCTGCAAAAGGGATATAATGACATTGACATGGGGTTCTATCCTTCTCCTACTCCACCAAAATTAGCACATTTTTACTTCTCAGAATTCCTGTTACTATGACAGCGTGTCAAGCAGAACAAGATTTAAAGGGACATCTTTTCAGCGAGGATAGAGACAAGAATAAATATATTCTCTCTAGCCTGGGAAGGAAGGGTTACAACCCCTATTAGAAATGTTTTGCTGTCTGTGTCTTCCTATCCACATGATTTTGTGGCCAATTTCCCAATGAGTGAGAAATCACTGCATTGGGGTTAAAGCAAGCCAGCAATAGGATTCTAACTCTTTGCCTCTCTGTAAAAATGTTTGAACTGGATTTGGGCTTTAATGTGTTTAATTTGGTTGGGTTTATTTTGCAACATATTATTGTGTGCACAATGGCAATTTGTATTTTCACAGTTGTATTATTACCAGGTGCATAGTTGTCTTAGGTAAAGAGAAAACATGGTATGAGGGTTTCATATGATTTCTGCAGCACATCACTCTCATGTAGCTTAGAAAACCTTTGAAGTGTTCAGTTCATCCAGCACTGGCACACATGGAGAGGTTCTGTTCCTTTGCCTCCCTGTGGGAGGTATTTGTAGATTTTGTTAGCATCAGCTCAAAAAGTAGAAAAATCTTCTGTTTCAAACTGAATTTGTATCTAATATAGACATTTATTTCAAAATTGGGAAAACTGTGGACAGTGGTATTATTTTTTCAATAATGTATTTTTTTAGTCAATGTACTGGTCTTAAGAGATGTGTCAATGGATAATAAAAAAAGCATGAGTAAAGTGACGTTCCTCATCACTCAATTTACTGGTAGAAAAGCAAATGTGACTTTATTAAATTTTACCATACACATTGCTGCAATAGACAAATCCCCTGATATAGGAAGACTTCTTACTGTGCAGAAGACTTACACAGTATGCAACATTTATCTCTATTTCTTCTGGCAATATTTTAAAATAAATAAAATAAAATAAACACCGCCATTAGCATAGATTAATTGACCAGGGACTCCTAATGAGTTCTACATTTTTGGAGGCATATCCCAATAATGCATTCCTCTGACTTTCTGCTAATTAAATCATATCTGATTGGTAGACTTTCACTTGGTGTCTCTGCTGTGCCAAGCTCCCTTTTCTCTTTGAAAGATCTGATGAGAGCTGGTTTTGTTTTCACAGCTAATAGCTCCCCTGCTGCACTATCGGCATCTGCCTCGGTTTGCAAGAGTTTTATACACTTAACCCAGTGCAGTGAATGTATTGCCTCTGAGAGTTCCCATTAGAAAATGTTACATATTTATAAAATACAGTCAGAAATATGTATTTTTAATTCTTCTAGCGTCAGTGGAAAATTCACTGGCTTGCTGCTTTTCTGTTCCAGTGGATTGACATATGTTCAGTATGTGGATATGTAACAGATAATATTGAACTGATCTTTCTGAGCTGCCCAGCTTTGGTCTGGGCTAAATAGCGCCACAACTATATAAAGTATTTCTGTCCATATATTTGTATGTACCCAAGGTCTTCAAAACTCAACAGAATTTTCATGTTTTTACTATTATCAAAAGATTATGTGAGGTTAAGCAGCCCCTATGAACAACCACCAGCCCACATATACACTTGCTTACAACAACACTAAAAAACACCAGATTGCTAGTCTGGGTGTTAGAGTAGCTCATCCATTGGCATGTTAATTTCATTTGGCATGATAAGACACACTTTGAACTGAGAAGTACAGTGTATGTGGTGAATCATATTTAAAAAGACACCCATTACTTTTATTGTACAAAGCTATTATGGCATGCCTGTGGTGAAAAGGGGCAATACACCCAAACAATGCAAGTTCCCTGAAGTGTTACTAAACCCACAACAGTAAAATCAGTCTGTATATGCAGTAAAGCTTGCTTGCTATACTCACTGTGGAACCTAAGGGGTCAATCCTCTGCATTGTGTTAAAAGGCTGTTTGATCCTGTCCTCCCCATCTTTTACTGTTCCCAGTCCATATGTCATAGTACGGAGCAGCAGTGGCAAGTCTGCACATGCTATGTTTGGTGTGTTGTGCTAGAGAGGTTTTTTTTTTTTTTTTGGGGGGGGGTGCTTGTGATCAGCACAGGGCCAATCAGTGCTGTGCAGACAGAAGGTCAGGGGTCATGCAGCCTCATATGATGGTCAGAGGAGAATGAAAACTCCTTCTACAAGATTAACTAGTATTCAGTCGGACACTGATAAAAGTCACAAAACTGCTGTATACTGCTGATGAGAAAAGTTTTTTTGCAGTTTTATATTTACTGAAATAATAGCATTTCCATGCTCTGTGTACTGTGGAAAACCAGATATAGTGAATTCAGGGTCAGGGGTTCAGTAACACTTTAAGGACACCTATGTCCAGACTATGGATATTGAAGTATTTACATATCCTTAACAAGCAATAAAAACACTCCTTAGTGACCTCTCTAGCTGCAAGTGTGGTGGAGAATATAATTCTCAAAAATCACAACAGTTACAATAATGTTGGGTTTCTAATATGTTACAGCAGCTGGCCTTTTTTACATTAGAAGGTTAGAGGCTGAAAGTCCCTGCTGCCGGAGAAAGTAAGGTGGAGTGGTGTGTGATTTCAGTGCCCTTGACTTTGAAAATGAATTTCTCCACAGTGCCTGCAACTTCATCGATCACCAAGGGCTTTTTATTTTTAAAGTGGTCTTTTACTATTTTAGGAACATATAAATACTTTGCTGTCCATAGCCTATGCATAGGTGCACTTTAAATGGGCCTTGCATCAACAGTTGCAGCCTATAGCCCCAAACTCAGCACTATTATTTTTTGCTGTCTTATTATCGGGCATTAGTAAATCACATAGCTTATTACTGAATATTAGTAAATAAATGGCACATTGCTGAACACAGAACTAGAGCATTTCAACATCTATACTTACAGCGGTTGTAAAGTGTCTTTAAAAAAAAATGGTCCTCCTGCAGGTTAATGTCTAATGTGCTAATATGCATGCTAGCACATTATGACGTACTTACCTGAAAAGTGGATTCCTACAGCAGTACATGGTCACTGCTGACAGGGGCTCCATCTTCACCCAGTCTTCCTTCCGGGCTGTGCTGCAAAGACGTAGCTCCCACATATGTACGGGGGAGTCATGACCAGGGCACAGCAGTCTGAATGGGTGGCACACTCGAGTGTGCCATCCATTTAGAGCGCCGGTAATGTCACCAGCAGCTACAAATGTGAATATCTCCTAATCAGTGTACATTTAGGAGATATTCACTGTACCTACAGGTAAGCCTTATTATAGGCTTACTTGTATGATCAAGTGATAAAGTGGACTTTACAACCACCTTAACGTCTTTCTGTGTTTGTATTTACTGTATTATTTTTTTCAGATTTCTGTTGCAGACTAATATTCACTAAATGCCTTAGAGCCCACACAGTAGAGCAGTCCTAGTAAGTCAGTTAAGGGTCTACAGTATGTACTGGAAACAATAGAAAAGAAAGAGGTCACACCAACCTGGTGCATTATCCAAGAGATTTTAATGTAAGAAACCAGTAAAAATCTACTCACAAATATAGAAGTAAAACTCGCTCATCAAGCCACTCGTCCATGGCCAAATGTGGATGATCTCCAAAGCACAGAGGGACTGCTCGTTGGTCCCTGAAGGCTGATGCATTTCGAAGGAATACCCTTCTTCCTCAGAGTTTAGTGCCATGTGATCACTTTACCAGCTAAATACTCTTCACTACCTAATGAGAACCATGAGTTCTTCCCCCTTTGTTCCCTCCCATGGGAGGAGATTAGCAATTGCTGGATGCGTCTGTTAACAACAATAATATCAATATTAATAAGGGAAAATTCCATTATCTAGCGTTATACATTACCCTTCCAGAGATGTTGTAAGGTACAGGCAACTGATTGTTTTGGGGCTGAAGGTAAATCACCATGACCATGTTTAATTTCCATTGCTGGTGGCTATAAGCATGTTGGAAAGCACGCCACTGTCAAACACAAGAAGTGCAGACCAGAAATGCATTCCTGCCAGCACTTATGGTCCGCTGTGACATCACGTCTGGTCTCTCTTGAAGCAGAATGCCTAGGGATGGTAGCCTAATAAAAATAATAATAATAAAAAAAACCATGATGATAACATAAGGAAAAGGGCTACTACTTGCACTGAGGGTAGTCCGCCTCTAAAATTGTGAAAAATATCTCAAGCTCAAAACTTTTTTTCTGAATGAATAAATATGTGTATGTACTATATTGCCAAAAGTATTGGGATGCCTGCCTTTAAACACACATGAACTTTAATGGCAACCCGGTTTTACTTTGTAGAGTTCAATATTGAGTTGTCCCACCCTTTGCAGCTATAACAGCTTCAATTCTTCTGGGAAGGCTGTCCACAGGGTTTAGGAGTGTGTCTATGGGAATGTTTGACCATTCTTCCAGAAGCGCATTTGTGAGGTCAGGCACTGATGTCGGATGAGAAAGCCTGGATCGCAGTCTCCGTTTTAATTCATCCCAAAGGTGTTCTATCAGGTTGAGGTCAGGAATCTGTGCAGGCCAGTCAAGTTCCTCCACTCCGAACTCACTCATCCATGTCGGGCAAGTACCGTTCTCCTGGCAACCACCGAGCCCAGACATGTCCATCGGATTGCCAGACAGAGAAGCGTGATTCGTCATCTAGAGAACACGTCTCCACTGCTCTAGAATCCAGTAGTGTTGTGCTTTACACCACTGCATACAAATTTGCATTGCACTTGATGATGTACGGCTTGGATGCAGCTGCTCGGACATGGAAACCCATTCCATGAAGCTCTCTTTGTTGTTGTACTAATCTAAAGGCCACATGAAGTTTGGAGGTCTTTAGCTATTGACTCTGCAGACAATTGGTGACTTCTGCACACTATGCACTTCAGCATACCCTGACCCTGCTCTGTCATTTTATGTGGCCTACCACTTCATGGCTGAGTTGCTGTTATTCCCAGTTGCTTCCACTTTGTTATAATACCACTAACAGTTGACCGTGGAATATTTAGTAGCAAGGACATTTCATGGATGCACAGGTGGCAACCTATCATAGTACATCAAATGAAAAATGCAGCGCAGCAATATAAACTCAAATGGTGCTCATAATACAAACATGCATAAATGAATAGTGAAAACTAAATTGTATATGTGACAATAAATATGTGCTACACCCAATGTATTCTTAATGCATACACATAAATCACCATAAACTTGCACATATGAGTGCTGAAATTAATATAGGTATAAAAACCAAATAAATTGTATTTAATATTGAACTGTCCCTTTAAATCTCAGAAATCTTCATGTGTGTTTGTGCGGTGTGTCTCCTATATATTGTGCTCCAAATACACCAGCAACAAAAATCTCCAAACAATGGTGAACCATCCCTTTAAATCCGAGGTACTCCAAGTGAATCAGTGTAATCAGACTACTGCATACACGTGTACAGTGCTCCTGTGTCAACCTTTAGTGTACATCCACCTCCAACACACTATTGAATGGGCAAAGATACCTCAAACAAGACTCTTGGCTGGCTACAAAAAGCGTTTACAAGCTGTGATACTTGCCAAAGGGGGCAGTACAAGATATTAACACTGCAGGGTGCCCAAACTTTTGCAGATGCCATTTTTTTTTGTTTTCTGTTATTTTGAAAGTGTAAATGATGGAAATAAAATCTAACTTTTGTTGACATATTATAAGAATGTCTAATCTGTAATTTGATGCCTTTTGGAGATTTTTCCATCTTTCCTTGGCTTCTTTATGCACATTAATACAAATTTTTAGCTGGGGTGCCCAAACTTTCGATCCCCACTGTAGATCTTCACCACCGTCAGCACTTTAAACTCTCCAGAACGCTCCACAAACATAGGAAACAATACACCATATAGTGTAATATTGCCAGGTAAAAAACAAGCTTTATTAAAATGCTCAAAGCAAACTCACATTTAAAAGTGTCCACCTGGGACACTACAGGGTAAAACTCACTATACAGTATGTACAGGAATCTCTTTTCCAAAATGGTGGCACATGCACTTCCGGTTTGTATTTTGACATCATTGGCGTACCCTACGCGTTACGTCACGTCATGTAACTTCATCAGGAGTAGCCGATTGGATGTCAAGCCTTCCATATATACCTATACACTAATTGTGATGCATAACATCTGAGTCTGTGCCATTTTCTTGTAGACCTGTGTATAGATATAATGCTCCGATCTCACTTTGCTAGGGGGATTATTATGACTACACCCGGAGCGAGCACAGGGGGATCATTCCCTTTATACATATCACAGTACCATGGTTGAATTCACTGAGCTCCTGAGAGAGACCCATTCTTTCACAAATGTTTGTAGGAGCATTCTGAATGCCTAGGTGCTTGATTTTATACACCTGTGTCCATGGAGGTGATTGGAACACCTGAATCCAATGATTTGGAGGGATGCCCCAATACTTTTGGCAGTATATATAGGCCAGGACTCCCAAGTGATTATCCGTCCATCTACTTGGCTATCGCATTTATACGCAGGAGACTCTTTCTTGTTTTAAGGACCTATGTACACAGGCTTTTCAAAACTGCCATACTACAATGCTAAGGGTAGCCATGATCTCTGGCTACTGTCCTGTTCTTACTCAGCAACAACTGTGAGCCCTGCAGGCAATCAGAATGGAGTTACCAAATTATCTTCAAGTGATGTAATACTTTTGTATCTTCATTTATTTATGTTATGTAACACATATATGATAAGCTGTGTTAACCACTTGCCGCCCTGCCACTGTAGAAATACGGTGGCAGGGCAGCACGGGCAGGCAAAACCACGTTTTAAAACATGTGTTTTGTAAACAGGTAGGGGCACGCGTGAGGCGCACCGCCGCCCTACCTGTCCCGCCGATCACAGCCGCGGGTGTCAGTCGCCAGGTCACAGCCGGTCCTTATCGGCTATCTCCCGGCGATCGGCGGCAAATCAGTGACAGAGAGCACAGCTGCAGTAGCTGTGCTTTCTGTCACTTCCCTGACAGCTCGAGGACAAGCTGATTGGGACAGAAGAGTTTCACTCTCCCGATCAGCTGTGTCCCCTGCAGTACACACCCCCGCCCCCTAGTAAAACACTCCCCCTCACACAGATAACCCTTCCCTGCAAAATAAACTTAACCCCTTCCTCCCCAGTGCCATTAGTAAAGTGTCAGTTTTTTTTTTTGCACTGATCACTGTATTGGTGTCACTGGGGATGTCAGTGACCCCAAGTCAGTACCCCCCCCAGTGTCAGAATGTCCGCCGCAGTCCCGCCATAAGTCGCTGATCACCGCCATAAGTCCCTGATCGCCGCCATAAGTCGCTGATCGCTGCCATTATTAGTATAAAAAAAAACTAAAAATCCCAGTATCTTTCCCGCCATTTGTAAATGCTATAACATTCACGTAAACCAAATAATTTACACGTATTGGGTTTTTTTTTTAGCAAAGACATGTCGCAGAATGCATTTTGGCAGAAATTTATGACTAAATTTGATTTTTACATTTTTTTTTTACTGGACATGTTTTATAGCAAAAAGTCCAAAATATTGTTTTTTTCCTCAAAATTGTCAGCCTTTTTTTTTATAGCGCAAAAAATAAAAACCACACAGGCGATCAAATACCACCGAAAGAAAGCTCAATTTGTGGGAAAAAAAAGGATGTAAATTTCATTTATGTACCGTATTGCATGACCGCGCAATTGTCCGTTAAACTAGCGCAGCGCTGTATAGCAAAAAAATGGCGTAAATTGCAGTATCTATACCATAGTTTGTAGACTTTCACACAAAGCAATCAATATACACTTATTGGGATTTTTTTTACCAAAAACATGGAGCAGAATACATTTTGGCCTAAATTTATAACCAACTTTGAGTTTACTATATATTTTTTTATAGCTGAAAGTAAAAAATATTGTTTTTCTTCCAAATTTTTGGCCTTTTTTTGTTTATAGCGTGAAAAATAAATATCGCACAGGTGATCAAATACCACCGAAAGAAAGCTCTATTTGTGTGACAAAAAGGACGTAAATTTTGTTTGGGTGCAGCATTGCATGACCGCGCAATTATCAGTTGAATTAGTGCAGCGCCGAGTAGCAAAAAGAGGCCTGGTCATTAAGGGGGGTAAATCCTCTGGAGGTCAAGTGGTTAATGCAGTTTATGCAATTGAGAGGAAAACATTATACTGTATATGTGGCATTTAATAAACAGTATATTTGGGCTTCATTTTGGTGAATTAATGTAGTCTAATTTCTGGGCCAATGCATATTTGGACTTGTAGTTCTACAACATGTGACATAACCTTTTGCAATTTTTGGATAGATTGAGGTAGGCTATCATAGATAACTTGTGTGTTTTGTTCTGTATTTCAGATGTACAAGAAAAGAGAGATGTGAGCGTTCTCATGAGGCTCGAAGATTTGCGTCAGAGATGAAGCAATGTGTCAGATTGACCGTCCATCCTAACAATATCTCTGTCTCTCAGTATAATGTGCTGGTAAGAATCCTCTTAGTCTTTAGAAAGGCATACAGCGGTTTTTGTATCTTTCCTAGATACAGTGTGTTATACATGTACCAACAAAGAAACCTAACAACAAAGCAAATGGAAAATTCTATAGCTAAAGGTTCAAGCCCATTAATTTAATAAATGTAATCATTTCCCCAAATTCATTATCATTTCCATTATTAATGTGGAAAAAACTGATCTATGTTGAATCATAGAATTTACACTTGTAGAGTTATCTTTGCAAGAACAAAAGCAATTTGCTGGTGGATTTGCGTTACAGCCAAACAATTGCTTCTGAATTGAATCTGCAGGAAGAGAGACCTATTATCCTGTGTATTAGGCCCCAGTGCAGGTTAGAAATTGAGGAAAGCCTCATGGGGGTTAAGCCATTCACAGGGAACAGAAAGCAGTGTAGGGTTCACATCAATTCATTACTATCGGACAGGGAGAACTGCACCTGCATTTAAATGATTGGCCGCTTTTACACTGCTGTGTGGCAGAATTATTTTGGACAAGCTGAAATGCATTAAAACTTTATTTACCTTTATATTGATAAATTGGATATGAAGTTAATATATCATACAGAAATATATTATGATATGTTTCTGTTTCTCAAATCATTACAAATACTTTTTCTACTGTCCTAGACCAAAGGCAAGCTGCTCTACTTTTGTTTAGCCTGTAACACATTGCTGGTATTTGACACCACTTAAAATCAATAAGAATGCTGTCAGTTATAAATAATTACTGCAGAACACCTTGGTACACTGAAAATAACTGCATACATCTCCGGTAAACATATATGAGGAGAATTGTTCACTAAAAGTATAAATTCTATACTTTGATAATGCAATTGTGCTGCATTTGCTGGAGCCCTTAATCCAGCATATCTATCCCATGTAGAAGTATTTTAGTAAACATAAAACTCACTGCAAATACGGAGCAGACAGAAGCATAAAAATACTGAAGCCATTTTTCCCTGGGTATATTGTGCAATAACTGAAATTGCTGGTATATAAAGATTGATGGTTGTATTCACAATTCCTAAGTATTATGTTGAAGTACGCATGTGATTATTTAATAGTGCAAAGGGAAAAGTGTGATGGCCGATAGAAACTAAGCTTCAATCAGCTTGGACTGTTCTAAATGCTCTAAATGGAGTAAAGAAGAATATTACATAATCCCTATCACGTACTTCACATTGCCATCAATATTGTTCTTTACATCCCCTTTTTATAAAATTGTTGTGATCTCACTAGTTATATTGGGAAAAAATATAATGTATGCTCATGGGCACTTTAATATATACATGTATAGCTTTGTGCGTAACAGAGGTAGCAATTGGGAAACCTCTGATATGTATTTTTTGTGTACAGACATGTATTGTGCTCTGCCATACACTGACCAATACATTGTTGTTGATGCATTTGTTGCAGGTTAAATACTGGCCAGTATATACAGTTATCTAAACTGACATCTTTAAAGCATTAGTAAACTTTGGAAAAAAAAAAAACCATGGGCCTAAGGTGGTTTGAGCCATAATGTGCCAGTATGCACCACATACAGTACTAGCACTTTATCCTAAAACAAAGCCCTCCAGTGGTGCACTGTCACTGCTGTCAGGGCTTCCATCTTCACCCATTCTTCTTTCCGGTTTTGTGGGCTGTAGCTGCTTGAGTGGCCCATGACGTCACTCATACAGGTGAGTAGAGAAGTCTCACGGCCATGGCACAGAGTTCTGAAGGGATAGCATGAGTATGCCGTCCCTTCAGAGCGTATGTGGCAGTGACGTCACTGGCTGTATCCCATGTGAATATCTCCTGAACACTGCAAGTTTAGGAGATATTCATTGTAACTTATTATAGGCTTACCTGTAGGTACAAGGTCAAAAGTAGAGTTTACTACCACTTTAATAAAATGTCAGAATCCGTAGGTGCCTGTACTTCAAGAGATTGCACATCATGTTAACCACTTTACCGCCGCCCTATAGTAGAAATACTGCTACAGGGCAGCAGGGATGCGCAGAATCACGTATTTATGCCCTACCCACAACGCCATTCACAGCCTCGGCCGTCAAACACCAGGTCCTGGCCGTTGATTACTCGCCGGCACCCGGTGATCGTTGAGTAATACCGACGGGGGGAGAGAACTGTATGTAAGCAATACAGTTCTCTCCCTGTCGACTCCAACAGACTGCTTTGTATGGCTCTGCGTAGCAGAGCCATACAGAGCAGTGTGCTTACAGTGTAAAGCACACGCACAGCCCCATAGTAAAACATACACAACACATAGTTAACCCTTTGATCACCCCAGATGTTAACCCCTTCCTGCCCAGTGTCATTAGTAGAGTGTCTGTGCTTTTTATTAGCACTGATCACTGTATTTGTGTCACTGGTGATGTCAGTGACACCAAGTCAGTTCCCCCCAGTGTCAGAATGCCCGCTGCAGTCCCGCAATAAGTCGCTGCCATTACTAGTATAAAATTTTTTTTTTAAATCCCAGTAGATATATACCACCATTTGTAAACGCTATAACTTTCATGTAAACCAATTAATTTACACGTATTTGGATTTTTTTTTAGCACAGACATGTAGCTGAATACATTTTGCCCTAAATTTATGATGAAATGGGATTTTTACATTTTTTTATTGGACATGTTTAATAGGAATAAGTGAAAAATATTGTTTTTTTCTCAAAATTTGTTTATAGCACAAAAAAAATTAAAAAACGCACAGGCGATCAAATGCCATTGAAAGAAAGCTCTATTTGTGAGAAAAAAAGGACGTAAATTTAATTTAGGTGCTGTGTTGCATGACCGTGCAATTGTCAGTTAAAATAACGCAGCACTGTAACTCAAAAAATGTCCTAATCAGG